GTTTCTACCCCATACCGTACCCAGCCTGGGACCGGTACTACAAGGTGTGGGACAAAAGCCCCAATTTCAACCATTCCTACGCGCTGCACTTGTGGAACTTCATGAACCACAACCGGAAAGCTGTGGTCGCGGGCAGCAACACGCTGGCTGAAAAACTGTACAAAGCCTACTGCCCCACCACGTACGAGGACCTGATCCAAAACGCGGAGCTGAGGGATTTCACACTCTCTGAGGATGCTGCATGACAATAGTGTAAGGAGGAGGGGGGTGATCCTTCCAGCCTTCCCCATCCCGGGGCCAAAACACAGTCACCACTCGTGTCAGTAGCTGGCTTTGTAGGAGGAAGGAAGATCTTTTCATACCCGCCGCCCCGGCTCCCTCGGGACGCTAAGGAGCACGTGCGGAATAGTGGGACAGAGCCTCCGGTCACACTAAGGACACCTTTGCCTCAGTTCTGTTTCCTTTCGGTGCTCATGAACCAAACCTTCCTGGATTAGCTGGACGTGCACAGGCCCTCCGGGTGAGCTTTTCCAGGGGAAAAATTCCTAAAGAGATGCCTAAAAAGGCCTCCTGGGAGGAATTTCATCTCGGCACCTCCTGGCACTGTTGGCAGCTACCCATGTCAGAAACATTGCAAACGCAACAGGCTTTGGGCTGTGCTGAAACCTCTGAGGCAAGTGTAATACAAATGTGTATCAGAGGATGGATGACAGTAATTGCTAAGAGAGAGAAGCCCAAACCACCGTCTTTTCATTGATCTCTGTTTTTCTCATATGAACTTTACACCCTGCATTTTTGAGAGGGACCTTACCAGTGCAAGTGAAAATAAAATGGTTAATAAACCACCACTCTTACGAGCTTCCTTTCCCCTGCACGCCCCTGGAAAATGAGTCCCATTTTTCAAATGTTCATGCTCCTGCACTTTTACTCTGGCTCCTTCCAGGAAGGGGCTGCACTGCTCCATCCTCCGAAGTCAGTTCTAGCTTCAAAGAGTCACATCTCTCTCAGAAAAGGAGATGCTGAGGCACCAAGAAAGGATAGGGATGGCCCCTCAGGGCTCCCAGATCCCTTTGAAATAAATTGATTTCAACTACCCTGGAAATGAGGTGCAGCAGCTCTGGTCACCTGTGTCCAGCTGTGTGAAAATCCCCATTTAACCCCGACAGGGCACCCAGTGACTTTTTTTGGCTGTGGAGCAATGCATCCCCTTGCATTTACTTTTTTCCCCGAGGTAATGCCAATCCACCCAATGCCCTGAAAAGAAGTCCAGCTTGCGAATCTCTTCTGAGTCTGTCTGAACAGCTGCTTTTAACTTGGGAGCAGAAAGGCGGGGGTGGATGGGTCACCCGTCAGCGAATGTTTGCCATCTGCACAATGCTATCTCCTGTAAACACAGCAGCTAATGAGCGTGCTGCAATCGGCAGCCCGGTTTCTGCAGCTAGAAATCACGACAGGATTAATCGGGAGAAGGAAGCCCTCTGCACACGGGGTTTACGTGCGCTTCGTGCCGTGTTCGGACAAGGGGCTCGAGTCTCCTTCCAGCCCCGTGTCCCCCCACCCCTCTGCCCCAGGGTGAAGCTCTCATGGCTCAGCTCGGGGCCATGAGTTTCACACCCCAGTGCCATCCACACTGGTTTAGCTTTGCTCCCCGCTCCGTCACAGCTCAGTGGGTTTTGCCTCCCTGTGGCATCGAGAGCTGCTTTTCCTCCACGACTTTGACTTTCCTGGGTTGAAGGGATGCAGGGGAGGAGTGTAGGGTTACAGCCCAGAAAGTCCTCCCTGCTTCCCGCACGGCTTCGGACAGCCCCCAGCTGCTCCCAGCCGCCTCTCACCGCCCACATTCATCACTCCGCTCCCATCCTCGTCCCCTCTCCTCAGTTTCTCTCTCTGTCTCTGGAAACAAGTGAGTATTTGCCTTTTTCTGCCCCGTGGCTCGACTCCCCAGGGTCCCGTCTCTGCGCAATGGCTGCGTCTGTGGAAGGGAGGGACGGGGCTGGAGGACGGGCAGAGGCTTGACCCACTCGAGTTCCCTTTGCAGATGAGCTCAGGCAACAAACATTTCCGAGACCCTGCTGCGTTACGTAGCGTCTCCCCTGCAAATGAGGTCCGACTCTGTCTCGCTTCATCTCTCCTGCACGCATGCACAGTCGGGACTTTTAGCAAAGCAGGGCTGATGGCAGCAAGCACAGCCAACCTCACCGAAGGTCTCGCGTGGGGCGGGGGGGGGGGGGTTTCTCCTGTGCCCACCCCGTGCGAGACCCATGAGCTTGCGTCTCAGCGAGAGGAGAAGCTGAGAAAGGGAGGGAGGCGATGGCTGCTTTTGGGAAGGGTCTGGAGGAGGCGGGGAAGCGGCTCGAGCAGGTCATGAGCAGAGTCCGGGACTCCTGACACCTCTCCGCTTTGTGGCACGGCGTCTCCCCAAGGTTATAGGCTCCCAGATAGGCAGGGGAGCAGAGAGATGTTGGCACCCGGGGCACCCTTAAACTTTGCAGGGAGTGAAGAAGTCTTGAGGAGTTCAGAAAGGTGAGGAAGGCCCCAGAGTGGTGGTAGGGACGGGTGGAGGAGAAGGAAACAAAGACAGATTTCCCTGCCAAAGGCTGAGGATTGCAGGGAAAAGGACCATACAACAAGCCTGACCCAACAGCTATGGGCTGGCACAGCAAACGCAGCGTCTGCCAGCCTGGGAAATGAAAACTCATCAAGCTTCCTGAGACCGGCTCTACCAGCACTTTAGCAGAGTTGGTTTTTTGCACAGTGGAGTGGAAATGGTGCCAGTGACCGCCTCCAGCCCTAGGCTCTGCTGGGTGGTACTACCTGCTACCTCTGCGATGGACCTGCACCTCTCAAGAGGGACTGTCCCCAGTCACCCAGTGGGCAAAATCTCAGTCCCTGGTGAAGGAATACCAACATTTCCCTTATGGGTGATAAAGATGGCTTTTGCCAGCAGCTCTATTGCATCAGCTGATGTCGCATTGCAGCGTGGAAGTCAAAATACTTCTCCTGCTTTCCACCAGCTGAGGACCCATCCTAGGTAAATGCAAGTAAGAACCGAAGAGAAGAAATAAGCTGGGTTCCCAGGTTGCCTGATGCGGTGGTTTTACTGTACCAACATCCCGCTGAAGCCATGGTTGCACTGAGACCTTATATATACCATTTTGTAAGAAATGGAGGGGAAAACCCAGCAGGCTCCAGCACCCACAGGCATGCCTGAGCAGCAGGTCAGCACTGGCAGCCCGCGGAAACGTGGCTGGCTTTGGCACGGGAAGACCTTGTTAATATTAACCAGGTTGTGCAACACAGCCTACCCCTTGGGGTATGCAGTAGATCGTTAGGGGATTTTTAATCAGTGGTCCCTCCACGCCCCTCCTCTTTAGGAGTGGTTAATTCATGCGACAAAACCTCCCCTGAGGGGACCACGCACCGCTACCCTACCGTAACATGCAGCCGTGAGTCAGGGCTGTATTTACACCTGTGGATACACGTATGTGTATATATATTTATGCTTGTGTATATATATGTACACTTCACTTTGCCTGAAGCAATGCATTGGGTTGTTTGGCATTGCAGTGCTGCTAATAGTATATAAATATATATATATATATATAAACCCATATATCAGAGCAGTAAGAACTTGAATGATCTTTGCTGGCCATACAAGTCTGGAAGGCAAGGGGCTTGCTGATCTGATGTTTCCAGGTAGGCACCAATAAAGATAAAAAATGAGCAAAGCCTAGAGGGAAACTGCTTAACTATAATGCCACACTGACCCATGGCCATTCCCAGAGGCTTTCATGCCTTGTCTGTGGCAGTGTGAGACCTCTTCCTAGGTCAGCTGCAGCGCTGAATTGAGCCTTCCCTGTCTCCTGCTGTACTGAGGCTGTGGAATAAGAGAGAAAAGGGTGAAGAAAGAAAAGAGGGTCAGATAAAACTGGTGTAGAGCTAAAAAGTGCTTAAAAGAGCCACCGGGGGGGATCCAGACTGGTTCAGAGCAGTCCTTGACCCCTAACATTTACATGGAGAGGCCCAAGTGGGACTACAGGCAGAAAAGGTATTTAGGTGCCTGATGACCTAATTAAGCGGATCAGAGAGAGGCAGGGATGTGAAGAGTTTTACACAGGGCTGGCGTTAGCAGGGGAGGAGCAAACCCCCTGTCTCTGAGAGCAAGAGGAGATTTTGCAGTTTTCAACCTGTCTAAATGTTGCTGAGTTGGCCTGAGAGCAAACCAGCCTTGCAAGGACACAAGAAGCATCGTGCAGATGAAGCAACCCTGGCCATGAAGGTAGCAGAGACCCTGGGGTAGGGGTGGAAAAACAGTCCCATGGGATGGAAAATGCTCCCAGGTTTGCAGACGTCACTGGCTGCAGTATCAGCGTTAACCGGTTCCACCCTGCGCAACCCCAGATAACTCCTGGGAAACCCTGTGGTTGCTCCAGCATCAAAAAAAAAAAAAAAAAAAGAGATGAGAACAGGTTCATTTTATCCCAGGACACGTGCAGGTGCCGTGAAAAGTGTCTTGGCTGGGCTCTCGGTTGGAAAAACCTGCGTGCAGGGCTGGCTCAGCCTGGTAGCCCCTTGCCCTCGCTCTGCCCTGCCCGTGCCACCGACACCCACTGCAGGGCCAAGCCTTGGAGAAAAGCAAGCGGGAACCTCGGAGCCTCCCACCTGCAAACAACATTTTGAGGGCTGAAATTAGGGCCAAAAAGCTGATTTGGACACTCTTTTCCACTGCAAACAGGCAGCGATAACCACTGCCTGCTTTTCCTCTGTGTTAGCGGAGGAAAAGCCTCGGAAAGCTTGGCTTCCTTGCACCGTGCAGGCTGTTGTTCAGCGTCTCCCTAAGTTGCCTGACCCTGTTTGTCTTCCTCTCTGGAGCGCAGGGGTAGGTGCAGGCTGTGCAGGAGGCACAGGCGCGCGCAGGGCTGGCGGGGCCTCGCGTTACCACTGTACACAGCACACCCAGCAACACCCCAACACCGCTCTGGCTGCTCTGCTCCGGGGCGCTCAGCCTCTGTGGGAGCCCCGTCTGCATCCAGAAGTATGGTGAGTGACCTGTCAGCAAAGAGTGGGTTTAAAAAATTAAGTATTTTAGAGGGGGCAAGCGGGTGTAGCGGAGGAGGAATTGTAACTCGTGGGGCAGCAGCAAATCCCTAGCTAGAGACTAAGAACAATGCAGGTTTATTTCCTAGATTATAAACTATGTATTTTACCTATATTTGTTTAATTGTTTAGGACACAGCTAGGAAAATGAGCAGACGCCACTTTTGGAAGTTACCTAACTCAGAGCAGGGCACCAGGGAAGGCAGCAGACTGTTATATTAAAGCATGTCCAATGTTTACCTTGTATTGTGTTCAAAACAGGATAATTCCATTTCCCTAAAACAGGTGAGCTGAGGAGGGATTTACAAGTTCATTCAGAACCTGTTGTTGTCAAGAATTTCGATACCACCCTTTTGGAAACCTCCCTTCCTGCAAAGCAGATGGGAACAACCTGGCAGAATCTTTTTTTTTTTTTTTTTCAGGATAGCAGTTCTGGAGGAGGAAGGAAAAGGAAGGGTTTTTTGTTTGCTGCCACCTAAGATAAGCTCTGACCTGCTGCCCTGTGCCCGCAGTGTGTGCAGGCTGGCAGGGGCTGCGACGGAGGCAGAGGATGGCTGCGGGCTCAGCCCTAACACCGCATCCCTTTTGCCTTCCAGCACTTTTCCGCAGACTTTTACCACCCGCCTGGGGCTGTGGGGATGCCGAGGCCGTTCCCAGGACTCACCATCCCCGTGGACATCCCCCCCTTCCACTTCCAGCCCCGGCGGGCCAGCGTGGACTGGCGTCGCTTCAGCGCCGTCGACGTGGAGCGGGTGGCGCGGGAGGTGGACGTGGCCGCCCTCCAGGAGCACATCGCCGGCGTCACCTTCTGCAACCTGGACGGGGAGCGGTGCCCCCACTGCGGGCAGCCGGCGGACCCCATCCTGCTGAAGGTGCTGAGGATGGCCCAGCTGAGCATCGAGTACCTGCTGCACTGCCAGGAGCGGCTGGGGACCAGCCTGGCCACTCACGCCCGGCGCCTGCGAGCTGCCCACGCCGAGCTGGCTTGCACCCAGCAGCAAGCAGCAGAGCAGGCAGCACAGCTCCGGGGGGCGAAGGAGGAGAGCAGGAGGTGGAAGAAGCTGATGGCCATGCAGCAGCCCCTCCTGCAAGCCGGCCCCAACACCTACTGCAAGGTGCGTGGTGGAAAGGTGTGAGGGATGCAGAGCGCACCCCGGCGCAGGATGATGCTCTCTGCTGCATCTTGCCTTTATAGTCCTGCTGTGGCCACACCTTGGCCCCAGAAAAGGTGCTGGCCAGCCCTGCTGCTTTCCCTGGCGCTGGTTCATCACCTTCATGGAGATGCAAAGTCCTCGCTAGGGAAGCTCTCTCTTTTTTTTGTGCTTGCTCCAGGTAACCAGAGCTGCACAGAGTGTGGGAGAGGGGGGTCTGTAGAGAGCTGGCTGGGGAGATCTCACGGGATCCCTCTGTCCTGAGAGACACTTCATGCCAGGGAGACTTTAAACATCCTCCACGCCAGTGAAAGATTTCTGGTTCCTCCTGGATTTGGTGGTTATTTTGCTCCCCACCCCCCCCCCAAGATTTTCCCACCCTATCAGCAGGAAGCCTGCTGGCTGTGCCTTTTTGTCTGCTGCTTCTCCATCACCAAATCAACCTGCTCACTTATTCCTGGAAAGTAAAAGCCACCCAAACCAAGTGACCTAGGGTCATATAGCCTAGCCACCCCCACAAGTGCAGCTCTCCCTTCTTCCAGAGCCAGAGCAGGAGCCTGTTATAAGCAGGACTTCACTACCGCTTTGGCTTCCTTAGTGCACTGCTCTGATGGGGGGAGCAGCATTTTTTTTCCTCTCAAAGCAGTATCCCTGCACCACCTTGGCTTTTGCCTTAGCTCCTGAGCCCTAAAGGGGTTTTTCTTTGGCTTCAGGCAGAAGAAACTCCTAATACCCCCCCATCTATATACCTCCAACGTGACAACCACATCTCTTGAGGTCTCCCCTTTTGCTTTAGAGCAGCAAAGCTTTGTCTGCCAGGCAGGGGACATGGGGAGGGCCCCTTTCTACAGATCCCAGTTCCTCTGCTGACTTTTCCCCCCTCTCCAGTGCCACCTCTGCGATAAAGCCTTCGTGAACGACTCCTTCCTGAAAGCCCACGTGCAGCGCCGGCACGCAGAGGCCACCGAGGCAGGTGAGCCCATTTGGGACAATTTCTCCCTTCACTTTCCCAGGCAGGTTTTCCCCCGCTGGATAGAGATGCTGCAAACCAGAGTGACCACAGGAGGTTGAAAACAACTTATAAATTATTTCTTCTTCCCCGTTTCTGTGAATATTGACTGAATGCTTTCTGCTTGCTGCCTTTCCCTCAAGCACAGGTAGGACATGCAGTCGAATACGAGACTGCATGTGCATTTACAGCTCATCTCTACGCCTCAGTTTCCCTAAGGATCTTCTCCACTCAGAGCTTCCATGGGACCGAGGGGATGGAGCTATGTTGGAGAGGTTGGGAGGGTGTTTTGCTAGTGTGGGAGAGGCGTTCACCTTCCCCATGCACCTTTTTTTTGGCAAAGAATTGATGCTTCTTTGCAAAACGCTTTGAAAGCTGCAGGTGCAATGTGCTGTGTGAGAGCAGCAGAACCTCCTTACAGCTTCACCTGCACCCAGCACTTGAACTTGGCAGATAAAAAAAGCTGCTGTTGCTGTTTGCTGGCAGGTTGAAGCCCCAGCCCAGGGCTGATGCAACGCAACAGGTTGAGCTTTGCTCCAGAGGCAACTTCCCTGCTGCAGCCTGAAGTGTCCAAGCAGGGCACTTTGGCTGCTGGAGAGAGCAAGCCCAGTGCAAAGTCACGCTGCTCCACGAGCCGCTAATCTCTCCAAGTTTACAAAATTAAAAATAATTTAAAAAAAAAAAAAATCAGAGATCACATGTCCACATTTGTGATAGTTTTTCCTGCAGCTCAGCTACCTTCTTCTTCACTCTGAAACCCCACAGCTGTTTTGCTGGATGCTTTAGTAGGATTCTCCACCCCACCCAAAGCAAAAATCCCAGTAGGAGCTGGCAGGTCGCACCCTTGCTCACAGCACCTCTGTCTCCCTGAGCTTTGCAGAGAGGCAGAAGGTAAAGCAGGTGGAGCAAATGGAGGACAAGGTGGAGGAGCTGAAGGCGAAACTGCGGGAGATGCAGCAGCGGCTGGAAGCAGAGAGGGAAGCAGAGATGCTGCGCAGGGAGCAGGTACGGGACGAGGGCACCGCTGCCTGTTTGGAAAAAAATGGAGAGAAGAAGGAGAAGAAGTGGTAAAACACAGGATGTTTTTAAAGCACCGGTGAAAAAAGCGCTGAAAAATATTTTATGGTGGGGCACATGTTTATTTCTTTGGAAACTTTGCCCCCCAAAAAATTCTCATGGGAAATGTCAGGTGGAAATAAGGCCTTGATCTCCCCATGGTGTGCTGGTAGGCTCTGAGCAGCGGTGGTGGAACAAGAGCATTGGTCTCATCCCACTGGCACCAGGACAGAAGCCCCAGCCCTTGGTGTTTCTGCTCTGAAGCCAAGACATCTCCCGCCCCAATTTCTCCACTCCGTATAGGAAATGGAGAGAGCTCGCCAGCGAGAAGAGGAGGGCAGGAGAGATTTGGAAAGGTGGAAAGAGGAGGAGAGGACAAAGCTTCATGGAGAGATAGATGGCTTGAGGCAGCTCTTCCTCGCAGCATTCAAGGACGTGGCCAGCAGGAGCAGTGCCATGGAGGGGGTGAGCAAGTACCCTGCAAGGAAGGCGAGGGGATGTCCAAGCTTGCTGCTTCACCTACACCAGGTGGCATCACAGGTTGACAGCCCAAAGAAGCCTCGTTTCTTTGCTCCTGGAGCAGCCAAGCGTTTTGGGGTTGGAAGCAGTCACTGGCCAAGGTTGGGCTCCCCTGGGGGAAAGCGGAGCCTCCTGTGGGACACGCAGCTCCTTCCTCCCCCCCGGCTCCAGAAACTGCAGGAGCTTCAGGCCAGCGAGGTAGTGGAGTCCAACCTGGGGACCCTGCAGGATGATGACACTGAGGAGGCACGGTGGCGGGCACCAAGGCGGGCAGAGCTGCGAGGCAAGCGGGAGAGGATGGGGGTGCAGGTGAGCCGTGAGGTACCCGTGTCCTTACCCTTGCTGCGCGGTCCCGGGAGGTGCATCTGGATGGAGATAGGCCCACGCACCTCTGTGCCCACTTGCTTTGTGGATGTCTGGGCTCAGCTCAGGCTCAGGTAGCGATGGGCTCCTGCTGGTGTAAAGCACTGACAGTCTGAGTCCAGAAATGGGACCTGGAGGGTGCAGAGGGCATGTCACAGTCCCAGGGGAACCCATCATCACCGGAGCACTGCGGTAGCTCACCGTATGGAAAAGCACTTAAATAAACAAAAGAAATTTATTGACCCACGCATCAGCCTCCTTCTCCACATCTAAAAACATCTGAAGAAGGCTTTAGAGTGCATGGTACCTCTGAGCATGGAGTGAGCTGGGAAGGGCACCACCATCACAGTGTCAACCGTCCTTTGGGACCCAAAGGGAGGCTGAGTTTCTCTGAGCAGGGATGCAATCAGGTGCCCAGACCCACAAGAAGTCCCCAACTTACAACCCAAATTGGGAAATGCCTGTGTGTTTGATTTGGCAGAGGGCAAAGCAGAGACAGGCGCTGATAGACCTGTGGAGCAAGAACTGGGCAGATGAGGTCCAGGTAGGTGCTAGATGCCCTTGGCAGCTCCTGGGCACCTCGCTCAGAAAAGGCCTTTTTTTCTTTTATGGTTCAAAGCCCAGAGATGTTAGGTCTCTTCAGCAGAACTGGGGATTCCTTCTCTGCAGATCAGCCTGGAAAGTGCTAGGCAGAAAGAACAGGGCTACACACTTTAAATGAGCCTTGACTGGACTTCAAAGACCAGGGAAACAAGAGTATAGTTATTATGTTATTAAGGGGAAAGAATAAAGAAAATGCAGCGATCAAATCTGTGTCCTATCATGACCGATGAGAAGACATGAGTTTGCCACCAGCAGATTTTGAAGCTGGCCGTACATATTCTGCAAGGCCAGATGTCCCCTTTGGAGGACATCTCAATAAGGAATAAAAAGTCCAGTGAACTGCCCTTGATGGTGAAGGGAAGAGGTGGCTCCAAACCCATTTTTACAATGTTCAAGTCTTCTTGTTCCATTTTTGACCCTTTCAGTTAAAGAAAGAGAAGAAGACACTCCGTGCTGCCTCATCCCAGGACGAGTGGGCATTTTTGGACCATGTCCATCAGCAGGTGGATGCCCTCAACACCCATCTTGGGGAGCAGCCCGAGGTCACAAAGTCCCAGGATAAGAAGGCAAGTTAAATTAAAAAAAAAAAAAAAAAAAAGGCTTTGGTTCATCAAGAGGGTTTAAGCAGATGTTTAACTTTAAGCAGCCTTAAAATATTTGCTGAGTTAAGACTAAGCCTAATTTCAAGCCCTTTCTGTAATGCTTTACAACATTTGGCTCTTTTTTACACTCATTAAACACAAAGCATTACACGAATATCGTCGGCACAAACCGTGTCCCCTGGGATGCAGATCACCAGAGTAACACTTTGCATTATAATTTGGAGCATCTTTTACTTGTTATCAGATCCATGAATAGCACATGGGGTATAACAGGACGGCATCTGGTGTGCTAGTGGTCATATTATGGAAAGGAAAGCACCTAAGCTGGTCCCTTACAGGCATGATCTGCTTAAGGGAAACAGCTCTTGGGGACTACATGTGCCCAATTCAGGATTTTGCTATTTTCTGCCCCTTTTTTTGAATGCATTTCATAATAATACTCTTTAGAGAGAGGAAAAATTGCCCAAAATTATAGACAAATAAATGGTTTTTGAATGATGCCCAGTCTATTTCTTTACAGATCAAGCTGCTCTCTGCAAGCAAACCTGAAGGTAATGATTGCATTTTTAAAGTGAATCAATCTGGGTCTAGATAATTTTTTCATAGCTAACATCCCTTCAAGACCACAATGTTTTCTCTGCCTCCCTCTACAAAAGCGTGCCTTGGACTCCCTCCTGGGGAGCTCTCTGTGTGTCCTCTCACATGAAGCCGTGGAGTGGACACCTTCCAGTCCCTTGACTATCTGCTGCAACAGCATAGACCACATCTCTGGTCGCTGCCACAAAACTAACTTGTCTCTTGGGCGGGCTTTGCATTGTAGCCGTACCCCAAAGGAATGAGATTTCAATCAAGCACTCACAGCAAATGGATGACCTTGCCTCCTCCAAAGTGATGCCAGTGGTTATTTGCATAAAACTAAGGAGCTGAGGCACGCTGTGGTTTCTTCTTTACAGTCTGGGGTTTCTATAATCAAGTGCCAGGGAAAGAAAGAGGACTTCTGTGTGGCACAGCCACAGACCCAGCCAGGTGCTCAGAAAACAAAAAAGGCCATAAGCCAGGGTTGGCTATTAGCAAATACCCAAGGGGTACATTGTTGGCCCCAGCCCTGCGGGGTAGCAGAGGCCTGTTTGCCCACTGACATGCTCCAATTGGTGGCCTTGTCAGGCAAGCCCCCCCAGGGCTTCCCTTGGGGATGTTCTCCAAGGGCTGGTGCCAGACCTGGGCCAGCCTTGGATCCCCAAAGGGACAAGCATGTCCGTGATTTCCAAATAGAACTGGGTGGTGATCAGTGCTTGCTTCTGCGCTGGGGTCTCAGCTCCTCTTTGACCCTCTCACAGGCTCCTTTCTTCCCTGCAGTGACCCGGGAGGTGACCGAAGTGGTGGCTGATGAAGAGTCGTCAGGTGGGCACCAGAGTTGTGACCATCCCTATCCCGAGAGCACCGGGATGAAGCTGGTGTTTGGCTTGGGGTGTTCTGTGATGAGGGCGAGGGGGTGCTGGGCAAAGCTGGCGGTGACAAGGTGGTGGGCTGGGGGCAGAGAGGATGAGCTCGCTGGTCCCCTCTCGGCTGTACAGAGTACAACAGCACCACGACCAGCCCTGTGGCCAACACTTCACGGGGGAAACTTGTCCCAGGCAGCTGCTGGGCTGTGGGAAGGACTTTGGAAAAGTTGTAGACAGGAATTAATCAAATTAGAGGAGGAAGTTGCTCCTTCGTAGAGGGATGTAGTCTGCTGAGAGCAACCGGTTGCTTGCTTTGGGACTGGTGGGACCCATGTCCTTAAAGAGGAGAAGGGTCCTACCAGCCCCCGCCCAGGGCACAGCCCATGCATCGCTGCACTGGTACCAGCACCCAGCTCTACTCCAGACAGGGAGGAGGCCACCCTGTGTGGGAAGCAGAGGCTGCTGGAAGCCCTGCGGAGAAACCCAAACCTTCTGAAGCAGTTTCGCCCCATCCTGGAGGAATTGCTGGAGGAAAAGCTGGAGAGCATGGGAGTCAAAAGGGTGAGTCTGTCCTTTCAGCACCAGCATTTGCAATGCCAGACCTGAGCCAGTGCATGGACACAAAGACTGCTCTGGACTGATTTTTTTTTGGAGGGAGGGGAGAAACCAGAACACTAACTGGCAGTAAAAAAAAATCCCCACCTGGAGCAATCACACCCTGAGAGGCGAATGGGAAGGTGGAGGCAGAGTCACACAGTAGCACAGGGAATAAACCTCCATGCTTCCACCTCTGAGGTTGATTATTAGTATCTCTTCAGAAAATCTTTCTCACAAGCAGCCTTTTATATGCTAAATTACCCAGGGCTCCCTCTCTTCTAGGGAAGGAGGGTGTTTGAGGACACAGAAGCCCTTATCATGGGAATTTCAAGGGGACTTTCACTGTCCAAGTCCTTCTCATGCCAAGCATATTAAATAGTGCCTCCTACAAGTCTTCTCGAGCTCCCAGCAATGTAACACCACCACCTAGCACCTTGCAGAGCTGGTGCAAGGGCAGTGAGCAGGCAGGCAGCAGATACGGCTGCTGGGGACCTGTGTTGCTCCACTGACCTACGCTTCTGAGCAAGGCAGCATTTCTGTTCCGGGTCCCAAAGGCACAAAGAGAAAGCAGTGACTGCATGAATTCCCGTGTGATTGTTTCCTGGAGGTGCTTTTAAGGAGCAGTTCTGGGCTCGTTTCATGTAGGCTGGAGCCCTGGCGTGTCCCCCCTTTCCTCTGCATGTTATTCGGGAACACTGAGGTGGTGTCAAAAGCAGCAGAGGGGCCCAAAACCAGACCCACAGGTGTACACCCACCTTCACCCTTCACTTCTCATCATTTTACATCTCTACAAGCCCAGGACATTCATGGTGGCAAAACATCCTCAAGCTGCAAATAACTCCCAAGAGAAAATACTGCACTTACCCTGTAGCCTAGAAATTGCTCAAAATAGCTGAGATTTACTCTTCAGCAGTCATTTACCAAAGCAGATGAGGGCTTCGCAAGTGTGGGCTGTTCGCATGGGATATGTTGTGCTGGGGAAACGATGAGTATCAGGGCTGGTGAGAGCTTTCTTGGGCTTTGGGCAGGGCTTGGATCTTGCAGGATGCTCTTGAGATACGGGTCATTGCTGCCAAGGGCTTGTTTTCCCACCTGGTGCCGTGGGAGGACAATGTCGGGCTCCTCAGCTGCCCTCTGCTTTAGGTTATGAAAGGAATCTCCACTCGGACCTACAAAAGCCTCCAGGCTCTGGTCAGGCTTCAGCAGAGACAAAAGGCTAAGAAATTTCCCGATTTCCTCCACCTGAGGGACGAGCTGGTCCGAGCAGTCATGGGGAAAGTCAGGCAACGCGAGAAGCCCAGCAGTGCTTTGTCTTGGCAGCTCTCCATCATCCCAGGTGAGGTGACCTCCTGTCCTCTCTAGCTGCTGACCGTGGGGACCTGTGACTACCCACTGATGGCTGCGGGATGCTGTCTCCCTTACCCAGTGGGCCAACAAGACAGAGAAGGGCAGGAAAGAGCATTTAGGGTGGTGCAAGTCTCTGTGGTTGTTCTCTGGATATCGACCTTACGTGGGTTGGCCTGACATATTCAGGAAAAAGCACCAGCTGTCCCCAGAAGCCCCAGCAGAGTGAAATACAGGGTTGTCAGTGCTTGCAAATCCACTTTCTCCCCTTTTTCTACACAACCCCATGTCAGCTGGGCTGAGTGGCTACCCCAGCTACCAGTGGTGATTCTCCTTGCTCTCACTATTGCCTTCCAGCCCAAAGCCCGAAGAGCCTCCGGTCCCTTCGTGGGTCACAGCCCATGGTGATACCAGCTGCAGTAGAGCCTGAAGCCTCGGTGATCCTCCAGCCCACGCCTCGGAGCAGAGCCCACTCCACCCACAGCCGCCTGAGGACTGCCTGGGGCACCCTCCGCACCTCCAAAGCCAGCAGCCCCCTCCGAGGACTTGTCCCACCACAGAGGTGAGTCCCATCACCTCCCTTCAGTCTCCAGGCAGGTGGACAGTGCCTGGGACCCTCAGTCACAACCTGGCCCCAAGCATGCTGAGTGCTGCCCAAACGCCAACACCTTTGGATATTGCTGGGTGATGTGGCACCCCGGAGGGGTTTGTTTGGAAAAGGAGTTTCCTGGGGTCTCCCTGCCCGTACGGGCTGATTCAAACAACTCAGCAAAGTCAGATCTGAGGGCTTGTACTCACCATGTGGAGCTGGAGAGAAACACAGGGCATTTCCCACTGGTGCTTGGCTCCTTCTTCCTCTCCCAGAACCTCTGCAGGGGGATGGAGTTCTCTTGGGGGTGTCAGAGCAAAAGTATTAAAGATGTAAAATAAAAGCTTGGAGAAACTGTGCAGACAATGCAGAGAAGAAACAATGTAGAGGGGGTGTGAGATGGCAGCAGAGAGGAAGAGGAACTCATCTGTGACCGAGAGCAGGTGAGGAAAAGGAGTTCCTTGTTTGCTCCAGGAGCAAGAGAAAGCCAGATTTAGGTTTTCAACTCAAGCGAAGCAATACCCAACACAAGCAAGGAATAGATGGGAGCCTTTGCTGGTGGTGATAGCAGCAGGGTGTTTGCTGTCAGTGGATGTGGTGGACCTGTCCATGGGGAACGCGGGGCTTCTCCGTGGGCTGCCCTGCTCAGGGCTAGATCTGAGCCCCGGAGCATCACAGGGCTTCCCAGCATCTCCTTCGGGAGTGGGGAAGGGGGGATGCCAGAGAAACCCCATGCCTGACCCATCTCTCTGCGCACCAGCTCGGAAGCGACGCTGGGAGGGGAGCGGCCCACCCGGTCCCCCGTGAGGCTCAGCCCTAAGCAAGAGCCAGCGCTCTCCGCAGCGGTGCTGGGGGAGGAGACCGACTCCAACGGGTCAGACCCGGACTCGCCAGAGGAAACGGCTGGTTCAGGTACCCTCTGCTCTTGTAGCAACCGCTGCAGGTCGGCGAGGTGGTGGGGATAGTCCTGGTCAGCACCATCGGTGCCACCCTGTCGCCTTCTTCCCGGGGCTGAAGTGGGACCAGCCTTATCCCGCTGTCCCCCATACGGCAATGCTGGGCTGGGCGAGCCGAGGACCCAGGCCAAGGAGGAAGAATGTAGCCAACTCAATATGAGTGATAAAGTGTGCTTCAGTTTATTGATTTTCATTACAGCCTTTTATAATCTTTCTACTAATTATGCCTACTAGTCACTAGCTGATTGGCTTAAGCTCTAAGGGTCGTATTCGCACGGTCCACCTACTTGCAGTTAGCTTACAGCACAAGCTTCTCATAACACTAAGTTTCTCATGCTACTATTTCTAATTCCTCTTGACTTGTTTTCGATACACAACAGTACCGTAACACAATGTTTCTCAGACCACCGTTATCATAACACTGGGTTTCTCAGACCACTATTCCTAATTCCCCTTAACCTGTTTTCGACACACTATGGTACACAGGGCCGAAGCATCCTTGACATTCCTCAGGTATCAGCAGCTGCGAGCAGTTGCAGGCAAACCCTAGTGAGGCCCAGCATCAGCAGCTAGAGCAGGCTCTGATCATACAATTGCTCGGTGGGCTCAGGACCCTTGTCTCTGAGCCATTCTCCAACACGGCAACAGGGCACTGGTGGCTTTTTCCATTGGCAACTTGTGTGCCCGACCCTGCCAGGGTCTTTTCCTGGGGCACAACAAATCCTGCAGACTTTTCTTTGTGCAGGGGGAAACCAGGCTCTGTAGGGGCTGGAGGGAACCCCACAGGACCCAAAGGGCTGTCAAACACAAGGCGGAAAGCTTGCTTTAACTGTAAAACCCAATGTGAACCAGGGTTGATGTGGGGACTGTCCCATGGCTCCTCAAAAAAGTTGGGGGACAGCGAGAGCCACCTCTCACCTATGCATTAACTGCGGACAGCGAGAAGTACTTCTTGCACATCACTGTGGTGTGTCCCAGGCCAAAAAAATAGCTGTTGGTGCTGGTCACACACTGCTAGCCCGGGATGCGTGTGCAGATGGAGGTTTCCTCCAGCATCCTTGCACACACCAGAGTGTTACCCACCCAGGGATTGCTTGGGGAGGGAAACCCCCATGATTTATCCTATGCACAAAATGTTTGCTTCCTGAAACAGCTCTACCAGCATGGGTCCAGACAGTGCTAGTGAGTTTAAGCTATTTAGAAACCAACCCGCTGTGGGGTGGCTGGTGGTCCCCTCCCTTCTCACCCAGCTGTGCCATCACCGTGCCGTGGGGCTCCCTGTTTGACCCTGCACAGGGACAGCCGCGTCCACGATGGTGAGGCTCTTGGAGAGACGTCTGGATGCAGCGGCCCAGAGACCACCCGGCGGGGCAAAACTCTTCCCGGCTGTGAGCTTGGCCTCACCCAAAACCAGCCAGCCCGCCAAGAAACTCCAGGTATCTTGTGCAAATGGCCACAGAGATGTTTTTTGGCATAATGGACATTTAAAAAAAAATAGGTATGTCATACCCTTTTCTCAACTCCTACTCATCAGCAGCATCACAGGGCAGAGTCTGCATAAAAGAAGTTCAAGCTTACAGCAGTAGACACTTGGCCCTTGGCCCCTTCATCCAGTTGCAGACGTCTTTCCTTCCCCTATTGTTTGTCTGTTCACCTTCTTTGGGGGGGGGGGGCGGGAATAAATCAGTATTCATGCAATTGGGAGCAAAACAGTAAGCGCTAGAGAATCGAATTGAGAAAAGGTCTCTGGAACAAATCCAGAGATAATTGGAGTGATGCAATGGCAAAATTATTAAATTACTAAAATGGGACTTAAACATAACCTCAGTTTATGGGGGAGAGCTGATGTAATTAAAATGGTGGCAGTGTCAGAATCAAATTGCTTTTTTAGAAAAAAAAAAAAAAAATTTTACCCAAGGAAGGCCTGGCACAAACGCAGGGAATATTTTTATTTTTTTTTTTCTTATCACAATGACAGTGAAATTCTAGGCCTTCATCTGGCAAAGTAAAAAAAGAAGAAAAAAAAAAAAAAAAGTGAAGCATGAGGTTTATGGGACAACTTGTAAGACATGGAAATAGAGAAGGGGTGTCCTGTGCGGTGTCCTGCTGTAACTCCGTCTGGCCCTCTTCGCTCTCATTTTTGCGTCACCCTGATGGAGGAGAAATCCCTGTGGATTCTCCCAGGTGGGCACAGGGTGCAAAGGCGGGTTGTGGGTCCGGCCCTGTCGCTGCCCCCCTTCCCCCTCTCCGTGCTCCTCTCCAGTTTGCAGGTGACAGCAGCGACCTGGAGACCTCCTCCCTGCAGGACCTGGCCGAGCCACCACTGATGCTCAGGGGACCACCTGGGTCCCCAGGGCCCCGGGGGTGCTGGGCTGCAAGGGGACATGTGGTGGTGGCAGGGAAGTGACAGTCCTCTGCCAGCAGCCACTGGATGGTGCCACAAGACCAGAAACGGGCAGCAACCGCTCTGCAGCCTCCCCAGGGCTCCTCCCGGGCTCCGGCCGCCCCTCTTTTGGGGAACACCCCAATATTGGGGCTCTCCCAGACAGCACAAACCGGTTGGGGCCTCCCTGACCAGCCGCGGTGGATCGCATCACGGACGATAGATGCTGCATGGCCTGAAAAGGAGTGATTTCTGTTCTCCCTTCGTCATGCACTTGAGGAATAACACAGCGTCCGACGGTGCGGTGAGCTTTTTGGAACCCCCAGCAGCTCTCCCTGGGCTTTGCTTCCAACAGGCTGGGGCCGACTGTCCACACCGGACACGGCCTGGCACTTGTGTGTGGCTTTTTTTATTCTTTAAGCAGTCCAGAAAACAGTCAGGGATGGGAGAAAGCAGCTCTTCTCGTTGCATCTCTCTCTGCCAGTGCTCCTGAGGGTGATGGAAAAGGTCTCGGTTTCTGCTCTAGGATGAACCTGTCCTGAATACACTTAGAGTAACACACCACAGATGCTGTCTCCTTCCTCCTTTCCTTCTTGAATTGTTGGAAACTCCAACCTAAAGGAGGATTTTTTGGCACTGTAAACATCACCACATAAGCCTGCCTCCGCTGATAATGCTCATCTGTGTAAATTAAGTTCACTTTCCTAATTCTCTCTGCATTTTGTACATTTGTAGCAATGCATTTGTGATCTGGATCCCTTAAAAGCATGGAATTTTGGAAAATGCAGTAAGAAAAACTGGCACTTCTCAGTTTCTCTTTTTTTTCCCAATCCATTCCACCACTGGTTCAGAATTCTACCATTCCTTACTTCTCACGTTTGCATGTGGGTTTTAATGCCAGGGAGCAGAATGCCCAACCAGGGCTGAGCGGAACAGGGTGAATTAATTTCATTTCACTGAAGAGCAAAAATTCCTTCCAGATAACTGTTCACAAACATGCAGAAGATCCCTCCTGTTTTGCAAATCCGAGCATCCCCTGATATGTGCACATTCACCTGTGTGCTTATAGCCACCCACCTGGTGTGTCTCTGTAGCTGCGTATCTCAAAAAAGATTTTTTACAGTTTAATCATTGGAGTTTAAGAAGTAGACCTCGCTTGTGTTATTCATCGCTAACAGTGCTATTGCCAGATGTGTTACTTCATGCTCAACTTAACAGCTGTGGTTCTTTTTTGTGAGTGTCGATCGTAACAAACACTGCTTTTAATAAATTATATAAAGAAGGGATGTTTTCACCTCTTTCAGAGCTCTGGTATGGGTGACCGGGAAGAAGAAATGAGCTTTTTACCTGTAAAAAATTACAGGTGGAGGTAAGAGTGAGAATTTGCTCCTGGGAGAGGGGTGATAGAAAATGTGTCCTGGCTCACACACCTCAGCCCCTGCTGCCTACCTTACAGCAGCCCTGGGCTGGGCTCTGGTGCTGGCATGGTCCAAAACCAATGGGGAAATAAATTTCTGCCCAAAAGAGCAAACAGGTAGGAAAAGGGCAGAAAGCAGAACCTGTTTTGCCTTGCCTACGTGGCAAGCTCAGTGCCAAGGCATGCGCCTTGCCTGGCACTAAAATCTAATTTGCACCCACTCTGCCAGCTGCTGAGCAAAAGCTGCCAGCCCCAGGTCTGGCTGCTCCTGCTGCTCCTGCACGTATCTACCTGCCGACAAGTGCAAGAGTCATTCTTACATTCATTTTACCAGCAATTGTCATGCCTGAGGTGCTTTCGAGCCATTGCAGTGAGCTTCACGCACACAACACCACGTCCGGATGGTGCCAGAAAGGTGGGGGGAAAAACTTCCCCTAAGTTTGGGAAACTCCAAAAATAGCTGACAGCCTTGTGCTAAGAGAAAGGTGACGCTCATAGTCTGACAAATAAATAAATATAGATACAGACAAAGCATTTTTATTTCAGGCTGGGCCTTTTGAGCCAGCATGTTCCATGGGGAGTTGCTCTCTGGGTGCTGCAAGCTCGATGCGGGGTGGGCATGGAAGAGCTGTGGAGATCCACCTCGGGTTGTCACAGGTGGCAGGCTCTGTCTCAAGAAAAAAAAAAAAACAAGGAGACCAAGAAGTGACTCCAACAATACCAGCTCCATCGGCGTGTCTTGTCTAGAACATAAATTTTATTCAACTGGGGTTTTTTTCCTGTTGTTTTATGGACTTCTTCCGCTCTGCTTCCCCAGATAAAGCAGCTGCTTGTGTACCTCTTTTTAGAGTACTGTCCTTTCCTTGATGACACCGAATTGGGCCATAATGTTGGGTACCCGGCATGAGTCCTGCACACACTGTCGCTGCCAAGTGCTCGTGCAGTGCTGCATGATGCTGCACCAGCGGACAGCAGCAGGGATGCTCCCGGAGCAGGCAGATTACTGCAGCCAGGGGATTGCAACACAAAGCAAAACAAAACAAAGCAAACAGAAAGCACACAGTGGAAAAGAAAGTCAGAAGTGCAAACGGGGACTCTTGCTCACAGCCAGGGTAAAATAGGCAGACGGGTGTCCTGATACTTCCTTCTCACAAAGATTTCTTTGTGACTGCATTAAGGAAACAAATTCGCCTTCTCCTGCAGCAGAACAAGGGAGCAAGAGCCGCCTCCAAAATTCATTTCCCTCGCCCTATAGAGATGAGATGCTGCAACGCCACAAGGCAACGCAACTTGGTGAGGAGCAAAAAGAGGCTGCTGCAGGCAGAGGTGGCCCCTGCAAACCGCAGGCATCCCGGCCCCGTGCTGCCAGCACTTCTCAGAGCCTGCCATCGCATCCCCTCCCTCTCAAGCCTTCGCACTTGCTCCTCAGGTGGAATCCTGCCCGCCGGCAGGCTGTGGCTGTGCACCGCCAGCCTGCTGCTTGCTAGCGGCTGGTGGAGCGGGCTCGGCCCCTGGTCCGCAGCACACACGCCTCTCCATGCTGCTGAACACACAACGGCTTTCCCTAAAAAGCTAAGAAGACCCCTGAAGTTTTGTTAAATGATGGAAGGTGCAACCCCAGCATCTTGGTGTGATGCGGAGGAGCGGGGCCTGTCCAGTACCCAGGCTTTTTCCTAGGCATGATTTTACCTTTCCTTCAGTGCAAGCAGCCCAGTCCTCACCCCTCTGCCCTGACCTGTGTCCCTCACCCAGGCATGTAACCCCATCCCTCCCATAACCAAACTGCTCCCCTTAAATTCCCACAGGACTTTATTTTCCTGCTCCTAATTTTTCAACCTTGTCTTCAGTTCAGCACAGCACGGAGGGTTTTTCCATGGTCTTCACCAGTTGTTGACACCTCGTTTCTCCTATCAGAAGTGACTCCTTTGGCCTCATCCTCTCTGGAGTCTCTGGGACCAGTAAAACAAGTTCAGAGCCAGGGAGGTAAAGAGCTAGTCAGTTTAATGAAGGAGAAACCACGCAAATGAGGATTTCCCACTGAAAAAGGACCTTTGCGCTGCCATGACAAATCAAAGGGCTGTTTTTTGCAAGCACCATCGCAGTGGATGCCTCACAGCCAGCTTCCAGCTTGCAGGTACTGTATCAGAGCCATCCCATTTAGGACATCCCTGGGGCGTGGGCATGACCCCCTTCCCATGGGGGCAAAGCAGCCCAGCTACACTGAAATCGTTGGTCAAGCCCTTGCCAAGAGTTTAATGCTGTTTGAGTCTCATGTTCTTCAAAATAATATATTATGTGTTTTGTTTTTCTCAATGACTTTTGTCTTCATCGGGCTCTGGTTATTGGTAATTCTTTCATAAAGCATGGATATGCATGGGACAATTCGTAGATATTCAAACCACAGCACTAACAATCTCTGAACACAGCGCAACTCTCCCAAGTAGTACCAAGCTGAAAAAAAAAAAATATAAAGGAAAAGAAAAATCCTATCAAATTTATTCAACTGGAATATCTCACCCAGAGAGCTATTCTCCTATAATATTTGGGGCAAGCACAGTGTCATAAATCTTAGTGCTATTAATCCGTAGACTCATTCATCTCTGTTCAGCTATATAAAAGCAATAACCTTGTCACTATAGGAAGGAAGATTGGGCTTTTAATTGCATATAGATTTCAGGAGAGTTCTTATCTCATAGTCCAATTTGTAGCTTCAGATACGTGTCTTTGCTTCCCCTAGTCAAAGTCCATGCAAATCTGCCGTGCTCTCACATACTTACAAATGTTGCAGAAGCTCAGAAAGAACCTATATAGAGCTCTTCTGGCAGATAATACACACAGCCTTTTCAGCGTTTGCTTTATTAGACAAGCCTATATTTAATTAGCTCCTCTGAAACAGGATATGTATTCTTCAGAGGACCATCAAATTTGTGGAAACAAAACCATTTCTGAGCGCAGGCACACATGCACCCACACACATCACCAATCCCAATTTCCCTGACTCATCTCCTCTGGCTCTGCAAGTGCTATCAAACGCATCCTTTGCCCTGTAGTTTATTATCAATAAAGGCAAAATAATTGGGGGTGGGGTGGGGGGTGGGGGGTGTGTCTTCCCTCCCTCACCAGTAACAATGGCAGGAGGAAACGCTGGATTTATTCATGGGGCCAAGATATTTGCAGTATCTGGGTTCTGGTTATTTCCAGGCTTTACTCAGCCAAAGACGCTGAGTGGAGGCACAAACCTCCTTGTTGCTGTGCAATTGGTCAAACCAGCAAGCCCGGTTTAACCCAGCAAATATTAAACTGCTCCTCCCAAACAGCAGCCGGGCAGGACGGTGATGGCTTTGCCCCGCATGCCTCGGTACAGCACCCTGCTCCCCACGAGTTTCTGCCTGGGGGTGACCGGGTGGGAGCCGCGTCTTGCTCCTTCGAGCGGCTGGGTTAGGCACGCACCACCGAGGTTCAGAGCCTAAATTCACACTCTTTAGGGTAAAGTGTCTCCCTGAAGTGCTGGGGGGGAGGGACCCAGGCATGGCGCGGGGTGCAGAGGCTGTGCTTTGGGTGGGTGGCCCCCAGGGTGCTCCCCAGGCAGCACATGGACTGGGTGTCTCCCCGTGCTCAGCACCCCGGGCTGTGGATGTGGCATGGGGATTTGTGCCCTTTGCACGTGGGCATTGGGACATAACAGCACGGGGACACAATAAGCTGCCGCCAAGACAACAATGGGACATCCAGGGAGAGGGGGCTTTTGGATCTCACTTTTTTCTCAAAGTCCAAGAAATAATTAAGGTATCCTCATATTTTTTTTTTTTAGCCTGTGGGGCTGCAGAGGAAAGCCTGGAAATGGGAACTTTGTTCTCCATAAATACCAAGAGCTTTCCCTTAGCAGGTGGTATCAGCTGCGGGGCTTTCAGGAGACACATCAGTTCAGCAGAAAAGGGGATATTTGTATCCATGTCCCAAGGCAAGGCAACACCAAGTGCTTTCTGCAGCAGGAACCGCAGCTCCGTGGCTGTGGATGCTGGTTCTCCTTATGCTGCCATTCCCTGATGCACAATGCTCACCACTCGTGGTGGTGCCCACCACAAGATAAGGTCCATTATATCCAGAGACAGAGGGGAGCAGCTGTAATATCAGGTGTTGTTACACCACAAACAGGATCATAAATAAAAGATTCTCTGCTTTGCAATGTGAATGTTTTTTCAGTGAAGTTTGCTGCATTAAAATTTTTCATACTGCAAGTTTTCGGCCAAGGCAAGGAAATGAAAACTGATGTTGGAAGATTAGAACTCCACACACTTGCACACATCAAAGTGAAACTGAGAGATAGCTGGCTCAGTGAGTTTGTCAGAATATTTGTGTTGCATAAAAATATAATGTAACTTTCAAAGGTGCTTCCTTGTGATTTTATATGTGCACTTCATTTTGTTCTAATGCAGTTGGAAACTTGTATTTCAAATATTTCTGTGTGTTTTTCTGTATTTTTCATTACCCCTTGTACCTTTACCTAACCACCACTTATGCATTTCATATCTAAATTAAACATTCCTGTTCTTTTCAGCCCCTTTCCAGTGGGTGCCCGCAGGAGTGAGAGCATACCAGCAATTTTTCTGCCCTCCTAAGAACAATGAAGTATTTAGAAGTGTTTAATTGCTACCTTGAAAGTCAGACAGATGCTGGCCTGACCAAAGTGGCCTCAAACCCCAAAAGAGCCATGTGCTTGCTGAACTGTACTTGGCAAGGCCAGAGTCCCAGCAAGGACCTCTAATTTCATTGCATCAGTTAGTCGGGGTCTCCTAATGC